ATATATTATCACATGATAAAACATATAAGTATTTGATATTGTGATTATGAGATTAATTATTTTTTGTTTTTATTGATAAAGAAACACAATAATTCATATATAAATGTTTATAATAATATGATGATGCATAAACAAATATAAAAATACAAAAAATATAAAAATATAATCTGTATAATGATTACGATTCTTTTTATTTTTCAATTTTTATTTCTATTTTTATTATTTATCTATATATGGTTTGTATTTATGCGTTCATAAGACGAGTCCAATTTTTGTTTAATTTTATTATCTTTTTTGTCTAACCTATTGATTAAAAATCTTAACAAAAATTATACTATATTTACATATGTATTTACGTTTTTATAGCGTTCTACGTTTTTGTAGAAAAATATACTTATATATTTTATATGTATACAGAATATTTTTTTATAAATTGTAGTTTTATATATACTTCTATATATTTTATTATATATAAATTAAAGACATATATATAAGCAAATATTTCTTTATTATTCATTTCTATATCAATCATATATTTTTATTAAATAATTTTTAAATTGTAGTTAATTAAATCTGTTTTTTTAATTATTTCCTTAATTTTTAACGAAATACATTTTTTTGATAAATTATTACATAATATTTAACTTATTAAAAATTTTTGATTAACGCCATCTCGCGTTTGGACACCCAAAACTCCGATTTATTATTAGGATAGCAGAATGTATAAGCAAGTGTTCCAAGTTATAAATAATAAAAAAAACAACTTTTTTTTATGACGTCACACGAATTCAAATCTTTTTGTATATTATATTAATAACAAATCGGACCTTCGAATATTCAAACGCAAGATGGCATTGATCTTAAAAACATTTTGATAATTACTTCCTTTATCGGAATATCACAGATATTATTTTAAAAAATTATTTCTAAAAGAGATGGCGCTGATTCTTAATTCTTATTTTATTTTATTCTAGTTTTGAGAAGTGTTTTTCATATTTAAAAGATGGCGTTGACTATCAATTCTCATCTCTATATTTATCCTTTTTCTATTATTTTTTGTGTATGTGTTTATGTATTTCATTTATGGCACTCTGGAGATGGCGCTAATTCCACAATTTTTAATGTCTCTACTCTTCTTCCACTATTTACATTTTTTATTTATATTTGTACATTGATAATAAGATATAAAATATTAATTGAATACATTTTATAATTTTTTTCTCATTTCAATCTGTTTTACTCTTTAATGTAAAAAATATAGATATTATTTATACAATGGTTTTAAAATTTACATTTTTAAGATGACAAAACAAAAAATATCTATGTTAAGAAATATTATAGAAAATCAAGATAATTCTATGATGAATGCAATGCAATCAGTGAACATAATTGATAATTAAATTAAACAATAATCAATATTATCATCTATCAAGAAATCTTACTTATCATATGATAATAAATTTATTCGTTTTCTTTCAAAAGTGACTAGTTAATAAATTCGAGAAAATTAATCTCTTGTATGTTATAAAATATATTACAAAGAGTAACTAGAAATTTTTCATTCAAATTATAGAATACGATAATAATTAAGTTATAAATATAAATATAGCAATATAATTAGCAATGATTCGGGAATTATTAAATTGTAAATATTCGCTGAGTAAGCAAAACAATTTATCTTCAAGTATTAATATTTTCAGCGCGTATCCAAAGAAAGATGAAGTGTGATAAACTTATCCTATTGCACGTCTACCCCATGCAGATGCACGCATGCATGCATATACGCGTCCTAAAGAGTGCAGGCGCTAATTTTAGTCGGTGAAGTGTCAGAATAAGCGTAAGTCACCCGGGGTCCTTGTAAGGCTAGGAGGTAATCCCGGGGACCCTCGGCATGCACTCTTCGATAGCCACAGCATCCGATGTACCCAGCTACCGGCAACTCTATTTTTGCTATTTCTTTATTTGTCTCACAATTTTATCATTCGTCTCGAATTACAGGTTTTTCTTTGAAGAAAAATCTGTAATTAACCTCTTTCAAAAAGTATATATCGAAAATGCTATGTCATAGGGCAAGACAAATCTATTTCCATTTTGTATGTATTTTAAATATGGTTATCATGGTTGAAAAGAGATAATTTCATTGGAAAGAGAATCATTTTCTATTACGAAAATGATATTTAAATGAACGAAATTAAGATGCAAAATGTACGAAATGAAGTAAGAGAGTAATAAGCGAAATTTAATTTTGCGGATATCAATAAAATTGAATGTGACAGATGAATTTTAGGAAAGAACAGATCAATTTAATTATTATTATCCGAAAGGATTTGATCTAATTGACTTATAATTTATATTACTCCTTATGTAAAATATTACCATTGAACAGATGCAAACCGTTGATTTATTTCTGATTATTAATTATTAAGATTAATTATATTTTTAATATAAATCATTTTACGCTTTATAGATTTAATTCTTATATTATATACTTACGTTATATATCGTCAATTTTATTTAATGCAATAACGGACAGAAAATTTAATAGAAATATAAAAAATTATAATGAGTTTTCCTAATTACTATATAACTTTTGGCCTGTCGAAACAGATAAAAATATAGTTACTTGAAGTTGCACCAGATTGGCCGGTTGCCAGAATACACTGTATTCCTAGATAAATGTCATGAAAATCCAAAACACTAATTTTCTTTCATTTCTTTGTCTATAAAATCGCAATTTGTTCCCGTCAATTATATCATCTTTTTTGAGTATTTGCCAGAAATTAACACGTGCGACAAGGTTTTCACATAATCCGACATCGAATTATTATATAATACAGTTTTATTATCATTAATTATATGATATAATAAGAACAATACGCCAGACAGCAATATGAGTCGACGTCGATGCGCCTGGTTATGGTTTACCATATCGTATACTTCACTCTCGTCGATTACCACCCCGTGCGTATCGCAAATGCCAAATTACGTGCGCTTACGGTTTTCAAGAAAGCCTTTGTATCCTTTGTGTGCGTGTATGTGTGTGCGTGTGTCTGTACGATACATGTAAATCAACGTACACATGTTTACAAGATCTAGAAGGAACTTGTTGCAATGATCGAGGAGAATTATTATCAATAAATTAATTAACGTTAATAACAAACAGTCGTGTTGTACAAACTAAAAAGTAAAGTACAGTCTGATAAATGTGTTGAATAAAGGCACTTTAAGTAATTTCTCTTTCCCTTAACCTTATTTTTCTCGCCCTCCTCCTCCCCCCCCCTCCTCCTTCCTCATTCTACCTTCTTCTCTCTTTTTTCTCTCCCTACTACAATTCATATTTATTCATATTTAAGGGGGTCACGACCCATGGGAACGTGACCATGAATAGAAAAAAAGAAAAGAAAGCAGGTGAAAATCATGAACCCTTGTATCGAATGCAACACCTTAGAAGCACTTGCGGTGTACAATGCCGGGGCCGGACTCGTCGTACTCCTGTTTTGAGATCCACATCTGTTGGAAGGTGGACAGGGAAGCAAGGATGGATCCACCGATCCACACGGAGTACTTCCTCTCAGGGGGAGCGATGATCTTGATCTTGATGGTCGACGGGGCCAGAGCGGTGATCTCCTTTTGCATACGGTCGGCGATACCAGGATACATGGTGGTGCCGCCGGACAGTACAGTGTTGGCGTACAAATCCTTACGGATGTCGACGTCGCACTTCATGATGGAGTTGTACACGGTCTCGTGGATACCGCAGGACTCCATACCCAGGAAGGACGGTTGGAACAAGGCCTCCGGGCAGCGGAACCTCTCGTTACCGATGGTGATCACCTGTCCGTCGGGCAGCTCGTAGCTCTTCTCGAGGGAGGTGCTGGCGGCCGCGGTGGCCATTTCCTGTTCGAAGTCCAGGGCGACGTAGCAGAGTTTCTCTTTGATGTCGCGGACGATTTCTCGCTCGGCAGTGGTGGTGAAGCTGTAGCCCCTCTCGGTAAGGATCTTCATGAGGTAGTCGGTCAAATCGCGACCGGCCAGGTCGAGACGGAGGATGGCGTGAGGAAGGGCGTAACCTTCGTAGATGGGCACGGTGTGGGAGACGCCGTCTCCGGAGTCGAGGACGATACCGGTGGTACGACCGGAGGCGTACAGGGAGAGCACGGCCTGGATGGCGACGTACATGGCAGGGCTGTTGAAGGTTTCGAACATGATCTGGGTCATCTTTTCGCGGTTAGCCTTTGGATTCAAGGGGGCTTCGGTAAGCAGAACTGGATGTTCCTCAGGAGCAACTCGTAATTCGTTGTAAAAGGTATGATGCCATATTTTCTCCATATCGTCCCAATTAGTAATGATACCATGCTCTATAGGATATTTTAAGGTGAGTATACCTCTTTTACTTTGAGCCTCGTCTCCTACGTAGCTGTCTTTTTGACCCATACCGACCATCACGCCCTGGAATAATTATTGAAAATTTTTTAGTGATGCTGCGAAATGTAAATGTAGAATATTTATTTTTCCAAGTGACCTACCTGATGACGTGGGCGGCCAACAATGCTGGGGAAGACAGCACGCGGTGCGTCATCTCCAGCGAATCCCGCCTTGCACATACCGGACCCATTGTCCACGACTAGTGCCGCAACATCGTCATCACACATCTTGGTTGGTTATTAATGTTAGTTTCTGTAGAAGTTTAATTAAATATTCGAAATTAAGCGTTTCTTGTACATATCTATTTTTAATCATTCTCACTCTCTTTTTATTTCATCAAGTTGTTACATGCAAAAATATCGAATCCTTTTATTTCTTTGCGATTCTTGTAAAAAGAAATATAATATTAAAAAAATAAATAAATAAAATAAATAAATAAATTTCGTTTATAAGCTCATGTCATGAAAAATATCATTTAGTACAGTTAATGAAATTTCCAAGATTTTTAAAAAAAAAGGTTAATTATAACAAATCCGTTAGTTCAGCAAAATATGTGGTTATAAAAATTAGTCTATTTGTTTAAATTATTAATCATTGAAAAATTTCATCGTAATTGTAAAATCGATTAAATCAATCTACATTCTAATTATATCAAATGATTTAGAAAAAGTATCCAACAGTTAGTAAAAAAACGAAAAGTATCTATTAAAGTTAGCAATAACAACGAACAGTTAAAAAAGCACTAGCATCGTTATCACAATTCGTAGAGTGTCACTTCACAATCAAAATATATAAACATGCAAGATCCTGGAACGGAAAAGTATTCGATCATTCAATCTCTCAACAAGGCTGACACCGTTTTCCATTTCACGAAATCACTGAAACGATACGAATTACACCTTGCGAAATTTCGGTTACGATTCGTTACGTTTCTATGCACTGTTTTCCATTTTCCAAGGACCAAAGCAATCGTACGTGAATACCAAGTGTAACCCTCGTCTCGACCATAGCGATCGAAAAGAAAGTTTATCGGTACAGCAGTACGGACCACGTTATAGCGAAGTCATAAAGTTACTATATATGTCAGAACTAGTGTTTTGACAGATCTATGGCCAGATAAAAATCTTAAAATTTCGAAAGGCAATATAATGCATGGATCTTTAGTACAGTGTGTCGCACTTGACTCAGTCGGTATCGTTTACGTTTAATAAGTTTAATTTACGATCATGCGATATCGTGATTCGTATTATTTACACTAACACGGTCTTAATTGAATAAAAACTAAGAAAAACACTGATTCGATTTACCGTTCGCTAATTACTCGAAAGATCGGCAACAGTCGCTTAGGGCGTACGTCGTGCAAGAGACCGAGAGCGGCGAGTGGCACAGTGTCGGCTCTGTGGGGTCCCTTTATCCATATCGGTTCGCAGCCGAAAATAGCGATCCGCCCCTTAGATGGAAATCTATCGTGCATTAACACTCGTCTCGGCCCGCCGCCACCACCTAGTCCTTAGCCGCCCTAACCGTGACGCCGAGAGGGAGAGACGCTGTGCGTCGCGACGAGGCGGCGGCCGACGGCCCCCCAATCCAAATAAGGACTCGTCACACGCCAGGGCCGTCTCTCACCGGGTGCTAATCGAACAAGGGTCGAAGGGCATCGATTTTTAATCTCGATTTTATCCTTCGATTCATGTTCGATCATTCTCGTTCGATCATTCACATTCACGTGTAAAATAGAGTTCACTTCTGAATAATTTCAATGGTGGTATATAAATATACATTTGTATGTTCTTATACGTTTGTATTCAAAATTCTGAATCTGAATCAAGTAAGTAGAAGTTGTTTTTAATTAATTAAAAACAACGATAAATATCACATTTTCAATTTTTATATATTAAATTAACAACAGTTTATAAATAAGTGAACTTAATAAAGTTTATAGGTTAGATTTATGCGTTGATAGCTTTTAATAGGCATGAAGTTTACGAGTTCACGCGAAGCGTGCTTGATTTATACTTTACGAAAGAAAAATTCGATAAAGTTAAATCTCTGTGTTTGTGATGTTAATGAATGTTTTGTTTTAAGGAATGTGTTATTTTTAAATTGTTGTAAGTTGAAGAAATATGCATCCGGTTAATAGCAGGGAGCACAACATAATTTAATCCATACGTATGCACGTAAACTATGTAAAAAAAAAATAAGAAAGTAAAAGCGTGTATCTATTAAGATAATAAAGATTATCCATTTAAAACAAATTGATCGATTCTATTGACTCGATTAATATCAATTTAACTTTTTCTATTCCGATTGATTTCAATTGTATCATCAATCTAATTTTATAACCTATCATTGTTTCATACGACTATATTATTATTATTTCATTTTAATATTCTAAATCTATTGTTAATTTTTAAAGTCTTTATTTAAAAAACGAACATTAACATGTATTATGATTAATGAAAGTTTCGTTTTACAGTTGTCATTCTACTCATAAAATGTATACATTCTTCGTATGTCGCAGCGTGCCAACAATAATAATCCTGATTACAGACGGAACGTGATGCCATTTTTAATGCTATACGATTTGAAATTTGTGGTTGCACATCGGTTGAAAATGACTCGATTAAGCCAGTCGATGAAAGGCATATAGAATCGAATTATTGAACGATTAGACTGCTTTCTATAATTGGGAATGCACAGGGCGACTACGTAGCTCGAGCCACCACCGATCCCCTCCACCTTTTTGCAGAAGCTACTGTCGAACCGTGCGACCGATTCGCAGATTCGCATTGCCCAGTTTCAACCCCGAAACAGAACATCTTTCTCGTAAACTTTCACACGAAATCCTTTACACTTATACGGATACGGTGATCGATCTATCGACAGTTTTGCAAGTGATCATGCTACGAGATTACAATCAGTGGAATGTTCGAAGGTAAATCCAATTTTCATTTATAAATTATAACTTGATTACAATTAAATTGTATAATTGGAAGTTGTGTTTGAATAAATGATAATACAATTATCGATTAAACAGGAATAATGTAACAGGATATGGTAATGTATGGATATTTTTACTATTTGCCATAAATGTTAAAAATCATTTCGATTATACGTGTGTCATAAGAATTATCAAAATTTAAAAAAATTAATTGTTCTATCATCAGATTCTCAAAAGAATGAAAGAATTTAAGGAAATTAAATTTTTTTTTTTTTTTGCAAATACGTATCTGTTACTGTAATATAAAATAGAATAAATTTTGAAAAATTATAAAATTTTCTTACTGTATTTTTATAGCTAAGAAAAAGTATACCTAAGTACATTAAAAAACCATAAAAGGCAAAATTATAAATACAAAAATATAAAACAAGACTGTTCTCTTTTTTAAAAATATTTAACATACCAAAATTTATATAATTACTTGACGTCATAAATTTGCAGACACCATGAAGCAAAAACACAAGCACAAACACTCAAAGTGTTGATTGAAACAGAGGAGAGAAAGCCAAGGAGGAAATATGTATTTGAATGAGCGTGGATCTATTTTTAATAAATGGACTACGAAGCCCGTGTGATAACGCGAAGAAGCCCATTTGCATATCTTGGTAAATTTTGTTAAAGAAGCAAATTATTGTTTCGCCCATGCATGGTAGGTCAATGTACACTGCTACCCCTCCCAAAATATTACTTGTGCCCGATACATTGGTATCGGTTTTTCGATTTTTATACGAAAATTTTAATAAACAAGTTTTTTTCTAGAACCCCCCCGTTAATAGTTGAACCCGTTACTCCCATTTTTATCCCGTATTTTTTTATCCAAAATTTTTATCAAGCTATCAAATGTACAATGATCGATGGCTCGCCCCCCCCCCCTTTTTTTTTAATTGATCCTTAATATTTACAATGACCGATTGTAAATGCACGATTTTAATAAGAAACGATCCGATCTTCACCTCGCTATAACATATTCGATTGATAAGTGTGGAATATTGTTTCTATTAAAACCGAGAATATTTATATATATATATACACATTTTGATTTGATCGAAGAAAGAATTTTTAAACAAAAAAAAAAAAAAAAAAAAAGTAATATTCGAAAAACAGAAGAGATCGATAAACGAACCGAACTTTACAAAATACTTTAAAATTGTTATTCGTAAGGGAATCGTAAAATGAATAGCTCCGTTTTGATTAGTTGTAAGAATATAAGACTGATTTATTCCGTAGACTTGTAAACTTATATACAAAAGATGACGTATATATTCAGACAATGTTCGTCGGAAAAAATCTCACCGCCACGTAGAGACAAAGCCGATAGAATGGAAACTAACGGAGGCGCAACTAGACGAAGCGGTACGGCAGTGAACGGTGTGCTTTTTGGGAAAAGGTGTAGCAATAACAATATATCGATAGTAATAATAATTTGAATCGAGCATAACTGCTTAGAAGCACTTGCGGTGAATCTTGGTAAATTTTGTTAAAGAAGCAAATTATTGTTTCGCCCATGCATGGTAGGTCAATGTACACTGCTACCCCTCCCAAAATATTACTTGTGCCCGATACATTGGTATCGGTTTTTCGATTTTTATACGAAAATTTTAATAAACAAGTTTTTTTCTAGAACCCCCCCGTTAATAGTTGAACCCGTTACTCCCATTTTTATCCCGTATTTTTTTATCCAAAATTTTTATCAAGCTATCAAATGTACAATGATCGATGGCTCGCCCCCCCCCCTTTTTTTTTAATTGATCCTTAATATTTACAATGACCGATTGTAAATGCACGATTTTAATAAGAAACGATCCGATCTTCACCTCGCTATAACATATTCGATTGATAAGTGTGGAATATTGTTTCTATTAAAACCGAGAATATTTATATATATATATATATATATACACACATTTTGATTTGATCGAAGAAAGTAATTTTAAACAAAAAAAAAAAAAAAAAAAGTAAATATTCGAAAAACAGAAGAGATCGATAAACGAACCGAACTTTACAAAATACTTTAAAATTGTTATTCGTAAGGGAATCGTAAAATGAATAGCTCCGTTTTGATTAGTTGTAAGAATATAAGACTGATTTATTCCGTAGACTTGTAAACTTATATACAAAAGATGACGTATATATTCAGACAATGTTCGTCGGAAAAATCTCACCGCCACGTAGAGACAAAGCCGATAGAATGGAAACTAACGGAGGCGCAACTAGACGAAGCGGTACGGCAGTGAACGGTGTGCTTTTTGGGAAAAGGTGTAGCAATAACAATATATCGATAGTAATAATAATTTGAATCGAGCATAACTGCTTAGAAGCACTTGCGGTGAACGATGCCGGGGCCGGACTCGTCGTACTCCTGTTTCGAGATCCACATCTGCTGGAAGGTGGACAGGGAAGCCAGGATGGATCCACCGATCCACACGGAGTACTTCCTCTCCGGGGGAGCGATGATCTTGATCTTGATGGTCGACGGGGCCAGAGCGGTGATCTCCTTCTGCATACGGTCGGCGATACCAGGATACATGGTGGTGCCGCCGGACAGCACGTTGTTCGCGTACAGATCCTTACGGATGTCGACGTCGCACTTCATGATGGAGTTGTACACGGTCTCGTGGATACCGCAGGACTCCATACCCAGGAAGGACGGTTGGAACAGGGCCTCCGGGCAGCGGAACCTCTCGTTGCCGATGGTGATCACCTGTCCGTCGGGCAGCTCGTAGCTCTTTTCGAGGGAGGTGCTGGCGGCCGCGGTGGCCATTTCCTGTTCGAAGTCCAGGGCTACGTAGCAGAGTTTCTCTTTGATGTCGCGGACGATTTCTCGCTCGGCAGTGGTGGTGAAGCTGTAACCCCTCTCGGTAAGGATCTTCATGAGGTAGTCGGTCAAATCGCGACCGGCCAGGTCGAGACGGAGGATGGCGTGAGGAAGGGCGTAACCTTCGTAGATGGGCACGGTGTGGGAGACGCCGTCTCCGGAGTCGAGGACGATACCGGTGGTACGACCGGAGGCGTACAGGGAGAGCACGGCTTGGATGGCGACGTACATGGCAGGGCTGTTGAAGGTTTCGAACATGATCTGGGTCATCTTTTCGCGGTTAGCTTTCGGATTGAGGGGAGCCTCGGTGAGAAGGACAGGGTGTTCCTCGGGGGCAACGCGGAGTTCGTTGTAGAAGGTGTGGTGCCAGATCTTCTCCATGTCGTCCCAGTTGGTGATGATACCGTGCTCGATAGGGTATTTCAAGGTGAGGATACCTCTCTTGCTCTGAGCCTCGTCGCCGACGTAGCTGTCCTTTTGACCCATACCGACCATCACGCCCTGGTGTCTGGGCCGACCCACGATCGATGGGAAGACGGCGCGGGGGGCGTCGTCCCCGGCGAAACCGGCCTTGCACATACCGGATCCATTGTCGACAACAAGGGCTGCTACTTCGTCGTCGCACATTTTGTTTCTTCTTCGATTTTAATGCTCTGTAACAAAAATTTCATCGCCCTTCGTTATTCTTCGTTAATTCTCTCCTGGTCGTTTTTGCCGTACGTTGATATTTTTTACTTCACTCGTCGTGAATATTTGATCTTTTCAAAGATCTGTTTGAACGTCCAATGTCATTGTCGAATGTATTTCTAGTTCTCTGTGTTTGCGCTGATTCATCGTGAAAATAATGTCGGAGTTTCGCCAGGTTTAACCTCGAGAAGTGTTAATCGGCCTCGAAATTCATTTGAAATTTCTTATATTTACTATCGAAGAAGAAATCGATTTTATGCGATGAAAAATATCGATAAATTATGGATAATGAGATAAAAAAAAGGAACAACTTCTGTTCTCGATCCAAATCTTCGAAATTCGGAACACAATCTATGTAAAGATATTTAAATATGGAATATTTTCTAAAACGGAACGTTATAACGAAAAGAGGAGAAAAGAGAAGAGTTCAAAATAATTCTTAAACAAAACGCAATCTTTAATTACATAGTCGAGTATCGTTTGATCGTAATACGCGAATACACGAAGTGAAAAACGTAGTAATAAATACGTAGTAACGAAATATAGAATCACGTAGTACGATAAAGTTTTCGCGGAAAGCGTCGATGCTCGCCAGAATTGACCCAGTTGCCTATAAAACGATAGGCAAGCGGCTCCGGCGGCGTCGCGCCACTATTTCGGTGCGCCGCGACGCTAACTTTAGACGTACGGCCGACGGACGATCCCTAATAAGTGCAAGCGACGATTATGGTGGGCAACACCGTCTCCGCTCGCCGCGACTCCGCCGTGATGAGGGATAAAGCATAACGACGAGGCGCGCGTGTGCCAAAATTATGCCTGCTGCTTCACAAAAGGACGAGCAACTTTACACACGGGCAAAGACCTCGAATATGTACGTCTAAACACGATGATAGATAGGCCATTCGCCCTGTAAGCGTATTTTGGGCACTCGTGATTAACTGGTTAGAAGAATTTTTTGATTTCTTCGAGGAGGGGAAAAATTTCGTCGTGTGCGCGGACGAGCGATATTATTTACGAAAAGATTGATCGAAAACGAGGATTAGAAAGCATTTCTTGCGAAAGTGCTACGAATAATTTTGAAAGTTGTAGAAAAATTTTTCTTTCATACTCGATATTCTGACATACTATCGTAATATAAAATAGCAAATTATGTAATGTGATAAAGTAGATTTTAAAATAGATTTTGTAAATACGAAGAATGGATGATATAGATCGTAGAATCTTGATATTCGATGATTTATTATATATTAAATATCAATACACTCGTGATTCTAACGATAAGTCTTATGAAATCTTTTATGACGATTCAATCCGTCTTTTATTCCTTATGTTAAAATTAAGTACTAAATTTAATCGATAATTAAAATATGGTAAAAGTGTATGACAAAAGATAATATTGGATACTCTCGGTTACGATCTTTTAAAAAGACTTATATTATTTTCAACTTTATTAACTATTAGATATTAATAGATATCGAAAAAAACAATTACTTTGATGTTTTAAAATATTATAGACTAATATGAAAGAAAATATCTACATTATTACTCTAATTCAAATCAAGATGAAATATTTTTATTACTTTTCTCTTTCTAATGTACACACGAACGCGATTAACTTTCGATGTTATTTCAGATACGAGACACCGGAAGGAAACTCGACCGTTCCCTTAAAAGTCTACCACCACCCATCCGAAGCTTTCTTCTACTCGAACAATCGATCGAAACGCTTGACAATGGAATCGATCGCAAGGATACGGAATATTATGTACAACGGAATCGATTATAAGTATATATCGATGTATCGATATGGTCGACGATGCGTCGAAGGATTGTCGAAGGTAACCGATAGTATCCGATAGATGGAGAAATGAATCGTTTTCCAGAGAACAGTTTTCTACGTACCGTGCACGGGACAGAGTTGGAGTGGCGTCTGTGCCTCGGGAGCGTCCCGACGTCGAATATATGCTCTCGTCACGACGCCCCCGCATTCTCGTGGGATGGTGGTTGCCCGACAAGCACGAAAAAGGCTTGCCTCGCGTGGCGTCGCGACGCTCGCCCAACTAGGCGGCCCCAGGCCCTAAGCGGACCGAGGAAAATACGCCGTTTTGAAAATCTTCGATAACGTTCCTTCTTGTAGGTACTTCTTCTGTCATTCGAATTTCTTTCTTTTCTTAATTGTTCCTTTCGTCACCAGAGGGTAGCCTTTTCGCGAGTTCGTTTCTGAAAAAGATTGGGCACTGTTCCCTCTTCTCCTATTTAGGAAAGAGATAATAAATCGGTGATTGTAGATCGAATTATTCGTTAGATCGGAGAATTCGCGTTACTCTTAATAGCCTTTTTTTTGCTTTAACACACTTTGTTTGATAAGTTAAGTTGAGAATATATGTTAGGTTAGTTCTCGAAACTACCGATATACGAAGCGAGTTTTGGTCTTGTTTTGTCACGGAAGTGGATTTTCTCTCGTTTTGTTTGAGACCAAAGTGTCGTATATAACGTAAGAGGTGGATATGGTTTGCGTGGAAAATGATGGGAATGGAAAGCGACAGCACTGATTTATCTTGTGTGCAAATAGATTTCTGAGTAAATTTTCAGTGAGTTTGCTTTTAGATGTATTATTCTTCAAATTTTGATAATGATTTTGAAAATTCCCTGTTTTTATGAATGATGAATATCTTTTCAATGAGTAAAAATAAGATGTAATTCATTCTCGGTTATATTAAATAATTTTAGCAAAAATCGTGATTCCAATTTAATACTATAGAATACGTAGTGAACGTATCAAGAATATTCGATATAACGTAGACTATTTTATCATAAATTTCATTTGTATTCTACATTTAAGCGTTTATTATTTTTTATCCATGAATTTTGTTCGAATTCTTTGATTAAAAAATTATCTTTGCAAGCAATTTATCATTTTTTCAATGATTACTGCTTATTTGTTATTTTATCTCATTACTTGTATTTCATAAACTTTTGTTTATATTTCATGTCTATGAATTACAATTTTTTTTCATTTTGTACTTCACTTATCGTATTTATCAATATCTATTATCTATTTCAAAAGTTTCGTAATCTTTGATAAGATTTTCTTTTCTATCAGTTATAAAAATTTTCTTCAACGTTCATTTAACCCATCAATGCGATGCTTGTTCTCTTCTTTCTCTCCCAGATATCAGAGGTAGGAGGAATATTTTGAGATTACGCATCTGGACTAAAATAAATCTGTAGCTGTTTTATCGGTCAACTATACGTTTATCGACGGAAAAAACTTTTGAGGAATGTAGAGATTCTTTTTCGACGAAAATTCTCGATTTTCGAGATTCGAATTTTCAGTATTAAAAATCGATCGAACTCTCTCTCTCTCTCTCCCCTCCCCAATGAAGCTTGATTTTTTTTAAAAAGTATGTCCATAAGATTGGAAAAAATATATATGATGGAACTGTTCAAGAGTAGATTAGTCACAATAGGCCAAGGTCATCCACGGTTTGTTCCACATTACAGTAATAGTTATTTTAAAGCTGTTTGAATGTCTTTTCTCCACTCTCACAGACATATTCGGTCTTGAATATCGCGAAGAAAGCAGCAATTTTTTTCTTGCGTAAAAGGTACGTAAGGAAATATGTAAGGAAATAAAAAGTCGAATATTTGATATATAATTAATTATATATAGAATTCTAATGAAAACGAGGGTTGTGTTATTGCTTGCTCTCGAAAGATATTTCGATTCTTGATCGCTTATCTCCTAAACTTATTTATAAGTGTAAGTAAATTCACTAACGATGACGCGAAATACTTAATTTAGCACGGTGCAAAAGAATAACGGAATCTATATATAAATTTTTTTCAACGTTCAATTTCTAAATATCTATATATATTTTTATGTAACGATTTACGTTACAGGTTTCATCGATACGCTTAAGAATATAAAGAGAGAGAGATGGAATTTAACGAGGAAATTGAACGTGACGATACAACCTCGAACAAGATTATATGGAATATACATACAGAGGGAATTAAAGACGTCGGTTATATACCAACGCATTGGAACTAGGGTATAAATAATGGTATGAGAAAATGTATATTTCATTTCACTTTTTGATATATCGTATATAACAATATATATATATATACTTTATAATATTTACAAAATAAATTAATATTGATGGTGAAAGTTCGATCAGGAAACTAAGAATAGATTTAAGACGTAATTAGTTAGAGGTGCAGGAATCTCGCGTGAACAGTGAAAAAAGCGCAGCTTCCCACGAAGTTGGTCCAATTCCTTCCTGAAAAATTCTGCTTCTTTGCGTGTCCAGAATGTCCCTTTCACGGTCGAAAGATGCATTTGGTAAGTAAGGTTAACCGATTCCAGCATCGTTTACGAATTTTACGTTCCGATATTGAACAAGGATTGGCCACTCGCGAGCGAGCTCTGTATCGAGAACCAACACCTTTGCCAGCTTCCTCGTCCAGATGAAGTGATAGGATGAATATTGACTTCGTTAGCCATCCAAAGGACGTTAAAAAGTCAACAGTGTCTGGTCGTCGTATCCAGTACAGATGATCACAACGATGAATACTCGATGAGATCTAAAGATGATCCGTATAATGTGACATTTCAGTAACGTTGCTTTATCGCAGCATGATAATTTCTTAAAGGAAACCGATGCCAGATCGTACGTCCGATTCCCTCCAAGTCGGTTGACAATTCTTCGACATTTGTGCGACGTTGCTAAATCGTCGACGATGCGTTTAGAAGCATTTACGGTGTA